TGGCGTATTCTTGTGGGCCTTCCGTGGTTTCTGCTATTAGTTTTCTTTCGTCAAGGTAGTTGTCAACTAGTGCCAGATTCTCCCGTTCTACGTCAAATTTGTGCTTCAGGGCGTCCAAAATATCTCTCCAATTTGCGCTGTTAAAGGCATTTCTAATGTCTAGCATGAGGACAAGACACACCTTGCGGGCTTTGAGGCTACCAGTCCATGCTTCTCTAGCTGTCCTTACGACTTTCTGTATCACGCCTAGTGTTGAACGTCCTTTCCGGAAGCCATGTTGGTTCGCGGCAAAACCTCCAGCACGGTCTATGTCGTTGCGAAGTCTCCCTTGTATGAGCTTCTCGAGTAGTTTTCCAGCAATGTCCAGCACACAGAGTGGTCTAAACGACGAAGGTGTTATGGGGGTTCCCTTACCTTTGTCTAAGAGAACCAATCTCTGCAGACCGCGGGAAACGTGCCAGTTGCTAAGCATGCGTTGTAGGTGTTCAGGAGTAAGTCTGGGTATTCCAGGGCTACAATCTTAATCACCAATGCCGGGATGCCATCAGGTCCAGGTGCCTTCCCTGTTTTGAGTGACTTGGCCGCGTCTTGTAGTTCCTTAGTTGTGAAGGGTGTTACTTCGTTGTTTTTAGTGTAGTGTTTCTTCTCCCGCGGCGGGCGTTTGAGGAAAAGCTCCGCTACAATGCTATCCATTAAGGCTGGAGACTTCGGCGCCTCTGGTAAAGCCTTTCCAAGTCGGTTGGCAACAATTTGGTAGGCTTTACCCGAGATGTCATTGTTGAGATCGTTACAGATCTCTTTCCACAACTTTGCTTTACTTGCTTTGATGGCTCGGTTTAGCGTCTTTTTGGCATGCTTGTACTCTTTTGAATACAAGTCCTGGCTTGGGGAGCGTTTTGCGGCTCTCGTTGCGCGGCGACGTAGTTGATGGCATATTTTGCGAAGTTCTGCTATGTCTGTTGACCACCAATACGCCGGCCTGTGAAAACTCCGGTTTTTCAATCGCGGCATAGAGGCGTCACATGCGGCAGAAATCTCCTTCATCATATTTAGCACTGTCCTTTCTGTCTCGCTGCAAGTATCCGGAGTCGGGTTGTTCTGTAGGGTAGAACAGCTCCTTGCAAGTGAAGCTCGCAGTGCCTCTGGATCGAGCTTCCTGACATTCCACTTCCGCTTAGAATTGTCGCGTTGTGAAACCGGAGCAAATGCCAATCCAACGCTGAATGTCATTGCTGATTGTAAAAATCCAGCCAAATGTGCATTATGTGCTGAGATTGAAAGTGCAGAGAATGTTGCCCACCATGCCGGTACCTATAAGTGCCCGTTATTTCAGGATGCACTCCAGAAGTTGACCAACAAACAAACATGAGGATACTGCAGCTCAATCTCAACCATTGTGAGGCAGCGCATGACCTGCTCATGCAATCCGTGCGAGAACTAGAGCTTGACTTGGTACTGATAGCAAAGTCATATAAACACCTGAGTACCCAACCCTGGGAAACTGACAGCACATCCAAAGCTGTCATCTAGTCATGTGGCAAGCTCCCTTTCCAAAATGCAGTCGACAACAGCAATGCCGGCTTTGTAGCAGTATCAGTAGAGGGCATCCGCTTCTATAGCTGTTACGCACCACCTGGCCTCTCTACTGTCGAATTCACCGCATTTCTGGATCGACTTACCGAGGACGCGAAGCATTACCACCCAGTGGCAATAGCCGGGGACTTCAACGCCTGGGCAGTAGACTGGGGCAGCAAGCATACAAACGCGCGAGGAAAGGAATTACTAGAAGCCTTCTCTACACTAGATGTAGTACTGCTCAACAGTGGTGACACACCAACCTACACCAAAGGAGACGCAAGTTCTATTGTAGATCTCACTTTCGTCAGTGGCAGCCTCACCAGAGGTAATATCAACTGGAAGGTAATGGATACCTACACAGCCAGCGACCACAACGCGATTCTCTGGGAAATATTAAACGCCCAGAGCCCGAGAAGACCTAAAGAGCAACTTAACACCATTGGTTGGAAGGTAAAAACTCTTGACCCAAGTACATTACTAGTAGCTCTCAATAGTGACCAGATTATCGCGGGTTGCGCAGAAGAGAAGACCAAGGACCTGATGAAAAGAGTGACCCAAGCGTGCGACGCCAGTATGTCTCGTAGACGTGGCATGAACACAAGACCTTCCGTTCACTGGTGGAACGACCACATCAGCGCCCTTCGTAAAGAGTGTCATCAAAAGAGAAGAATATCTCAGCGTGGCTACCGACGAACTAACTTTGTGGAACTGGTTGCAGAGTACAAAAAGGCGCGCCGTGAACTGAATAAAGCAATCAAAGAGAGCAAAAGAAGATGCTGAAAAGAGCTCATATACGAGGTGGATAAAGACGTGTAGGGTAGGCCTTATAAGGTGGTTATGACCCACCTGAAAAAACAACAAATGCCATCACCTACGTGTCCTCAACTTCTTCAGAAAATCGTCATTGCACTGTTTCCACAGCAACGCAACTTTGATTACCACTTGGCGCCAGGCGAATTGGACGACATCCCACCTGTCACTGAAGAAGAATTGCTGGAGGCTTGTACTCGTGTAGGGAATAATAAAGCGCCGGGATTGGACGGAATCCCTAATTTAGCCTTAAAAACCATCATAAAGGCAGCTCCAACATTATTCCTAGACGCTTATAATGCATGCCTTAAGGAGGGGACTTTTCCTCGTAAGTGGAAACAGCAACGATTGGTACTGTTACCTAAAGGGAAGAAGCCACCAGAAGAACCGTCATCTTACCGACCACTTTGTATGCTAGACACGGCAGGTAAGATACTTGAGCGTATAATCCACCAAAGAATAGAAGCAGAGGTCGATCCACTCCTGGCAGACAACCAGTATGGTTTTCGGAAAGACGATCAACCCTGGACGCAATCAACCTGGTTGTTGCAACGGCCAAGGAGGCAATCGAAGGGATCAGATGGAAGGGTGGAGCGAAGAAGTACTGCCTGGTGGCCACTCTAGACATTAAAAATGCTTTCAACTCCGCCAACTGGGACTGCATTATGCAACCCTTGGAAGAGAAAAACGTACCAGGATACCTGCGTAGGATAGTGGCTAGCTACTTCACGGACAGAATCCTGAGATACGACGCGAAAAATGGTCCAAAAGAGTACGATATTACTGGAGGTGTACCCCAGGGTTCTGTTCTGGGTCCACTTCTGTGGAATGTTATGTATGATGGCCTACTGAGACTGACTCTTCCAAGGAGTGTCAAGCATATTGCATATGCAGACGATGTAGCTGTCGTAATCGTTGCGAAACACCTAGATGAGATAAACCACATGTTCGGTATCACCTTTGAGAAAGTTAACCGGTGGATGGATTCAATGAATCTACAACTGGCTAAACAGAAGACTGAGGCTGTGCTTATTACCAGCAGAAAAGTGATAGAGACCATAAAACTGAAAATCGGAGAACAAGAAATCACATCACAACCATATATCCGATATCTGGGAGTGATGCTTGATGCCCGACTCAACTTTAAGCAGCAAGTCGAACACGTGAGTGCAAAAGCATCAGCAATGGTAGCCAGCTTAGCACGACTGATGCCAAACGTCAGAGGCGTCAGGTAGCGTATTTAAGTGGATGATTTCCCAATAACTTTCTTGTAACTGATTTCGGACATATCAAACCATTGTCACGGCAACACTTATAATAACCACAGTTACACAGTGAGAAATTTCCAATGAATTTTACTATGGGCGCATAGTAACACTGAACTATAAGAAAACTGGTTCAAAATTTACAAGTTCCCATAGTAAATAGTATGCGCAGACTACACAATCGTGTCTGCGATAAAAATTATCGATAAAAATTATCGACTATAGCGTGGCTAGTTTTTTTCTGTTCATTTGGATTTATTTCTGCTACTTCTATATTCTTCTGAATAGACTTTAAATTCAAATTCAAGTTCAAAAACGTTAATATTCAAAATTTTTTCAATTCAGTTACGGATTTCGTCGAAAATAGTAGGGTAAGTGTGAGTATTACTGCGGGTGTAGGTATTACTGCGGGTGTAGGTATTACTGCGGGTGTAGGTATTACTGCGGATTTTTTTATTTTAATTATAAATAATTGGTATTGGAGCTTTGAAAATAAAAACAAAAATATGGAAAACGGTTGATCCTAAAGGTAATCCCTGAAACTTCCCGCTAATTCCGTATCTAGGCGTTTAAAATTGCATTTGTGACCTTCGACCTGTTTGGTGACATTTACTAGGGAATAACTTTTCATTGAGTCATGATAAATCGTTTTTCTGCATCCCATTTTAAAGCTTATAAACTTCTCTTTAATTTCACTTATAATAAATTTACTTTTCATTAATTATAACAAAAATGTAAGAAGCTGAATGTCATCTAAATTAGTTCTAATTATTTATAATATTGTTATTAGAATCATGGATTATATGAAATCTACCTTCCATCTTGGTGGATGTCGAATGGCCTTTTTTAAATGCATGTGGGTATTACTATGGATTTCAAATGCGCTCATTCTAAGCCTATAAAAACTGTGCGGTAGCTAAATTATTCGTACACATAAATAAATGATGGGCAAAGTTAATAATAAATCCAATGTAAATAAACAAAAAAATAAAAAAGTGAAAATTCAAAAGTTGTGGAAAAAACAAAATATAATTATGTTAAGGCAGATGTAAAATTAGCAGTTGCAGAAGCTTTTGGTAGAGTTACAGTGGCAGGTCTTTAGGAAATATAATACACAGGAAAGACTGGCAATAGCCTAATCGGCTCGGTGCCTACATTTCGAAAGAGTAGGACTCGGGTTCGATTCCGGCACGCACCACTATTTTCAGTGATTATAAAATAAAAAGAATATGCGCGTTACGTTGCCAGCCTCTGTACCGACCGGGTTTTCTGTGGTTTCCCCGTGTAGTTATGGAAGTAAAAATGTCATTATAGAATTACTCCATGCTACTTAAGGTCGTAATGTAAATGCAGGTACTGATTATAACGCGTAAGTCGGCCACAGTCGCAGCACAGTGGATTATAAAGTGGAAAGAATATGTTGAACGCAAAGAAAAAATAAGTGTTAGTTAAAGGGGCGAAAAGCCAGGTATAACATTATGAATGTCATATGATAACAAAAGAGGCACTTGAGTGGTATTACTGTGGTAATAGCAAAAATGTGGAGAATATGGGTTACAGTCTTGTAAAAACCAAAATAGGTATACAAGTAAAAACGATATAATAATAATAATATAATACACTGGAGTCTACGATTAGAGCTAAAAAACAAAATAAATATAGGGTAAAAGACCCCGTTAGTGGTGGGGACCCCATTCCTGACACTTTCTTTCATTTTGGTACTTATTCAATTAATGAAATCATTAATTTCAATAATGAATATATTATTTCTAATCTTTAAGACCTTTAGATTAAATAAAATTTTTATTTTTATTCCAAGTAAAATATTTTTTCATTGAAAGAAAAAGTGCCACTAATAGGGTCTTTTACCTTAGTGGTGAACGACCTGGAGCATCAGCAGTGTTAAGTGAACAAGAAAAATGAATTAGTTGAATGAATTTTTTATTGTTGCAGGTAGGGGTTTCCGGTAAAATTGATTGAGAATGTCAAAGTGATATGTGACAATGACACAAAACGAAAAACTCCATTCATTAATAATAAACCTGGTAGATCTTGGGTTGAAGGCTTTTTCAAACGTCATCCTAATGTTTCTAAAAGAGTTTCAGAAAACTTATCTTTGATTCGGGCAAAAGCGACAGAGTACGGTACACGTGAATGGTTTGGAAAAGTTGGTGACTATTTCATCCAAGCTTTAACAGATGAAAATGACCTTTTGAAGATCGATCTAAGTAGGGTTTTTAATACAGATAAAATTGGTCTTTTTATGAACCCTCAACTTAATCAGTACTCGCGCCAGAAGGTACCAAAAACGTCTACAGTGTTGTTAAGAATAACGAAAAAGAAAATGTTACTGTTCTTGCAACTACAAATGCAGTTGGCACTTTAGCACTAACTTTGGTACTTTTTGCCGGTCAAAGTGTACCTAAAGATGTAATTAAAGTAGCACCGCCGACTTTTAGTTTTGGTTATTCGGACAATGGTTGGACGACAGCCAAGAATTTTTATGAATATATATCACATGTTTTTTCCATAGATTGTTCAGAATGATACAAAATTACCTATCGAACTATATATTGATGGACATTGATCACATGTAACTTTACCTCTCAGTAAGTTTTGTACTGAAAATCAAATAATTCTTGTTGCGTTGTGTCCAAATGCTACTAACATCTTGCAACCTTTAGATGTAGCTCTCTTTCGTACATTTCGAGCAGCATATCAAAAATCTTTTCAACATTTATCTGAAAGTTCTGGTACAATAAGTATTAAGAAAATCCAGGTTGCTTACGTTCTGAAAAACACATTGGAAAGTTTAGACTTAGAAAAAATATTGGAAAATGAATTCAAAACGTGTGGGTTACACCCTTTTGACCCCAATGCTATTAACTACGGCAAAGTATTTAAGAAGCTTGAAAATTCATCTGCTGCAACACCTAACAGTGCCGAAGAAGTATTAAACGTACCTCAAGATTCGGAAACTCTAAGGCTTTTACGAAGCTTAATAGATGATGAAAACTGACATTTTTCCGGGTTATAATGATAACTCTTCTTGGGAAGGACGAAAAGAAGATCAAAGTCTTTTTCATATTTGGTATAAGTTACCAAGACCAACAAGTGTTGCTCAAGAGGTAATTAATGTATATTAAATTATTAAATGTAATGTCAGTTTATATTACTTATCCAAATATTAAATTAATCTTTTTTCGAATTCATAGGAAAATATTCATGATAACAACGAAGCAATTCAATCTCCGGTTGATATTATCGACATGCCAATAAGCGAGGACCAAATATCAACATTATTTGATCCCAATCCAGATAATACAACAGTACTTTAATTTTTTTTTTTAAGTGGTGTATTTTTAATGATAATTAATATAATTTAATAAATATTAAGAAAAGTTTGAATTATTGACAATTTAAAAATCTTTCAATTAATTATTATTATATATGGAAAGAAAATTATGGGAAATATTTCTATAATTGGTAAGAATGGTTCCCATAATTGTTATTCACTCTGTGTGCGTGGGCGGAGCTAAAATTCTAACACTCCTTCATTAATAGTATTAGTGTATTCATGCATACTGACAGCGCTACCAAAAAGGGGGCTCAGGCGTTTCTAGGGGCTCATGGCACTATACGTATACACAATACTCACTTACTTTCAAAGTAGTATATGTATGCTCCGCCCAGGCACACACAGCGAATAGGAATTATTCCTAGAATATTATAGAAATGGTTCCAATAATGGTCTAGAAATAGTTCCTATAATAGTATAAGAATAGTTTTTATACTACTATGAGAATGATTCTCATAATAGTATAAAAAAAGTTTCCAGGTCATTATGGGAACCATCATTATGATATTATGGAATCTATTTCTAAACCATTATGGGAACTATACCCATAATAGTATGGGAATTATCCCTATACTAGTAATGGAATAATTCCGATCATATTATAGGTGTGTGTGTGTGTTTTTCTCTTTAGGGGGGGGGGGGAATCCTTTTTACGGATTCTAGGCATAGATGTTTAGCCTGGATATGTGGCGACTCGACGCAGCGTCATACTAAAACTCGACGCTAACGCCCCTACCCACTAAACCCTAAACCCCTTTTCCTTCGTTCCTCTATTCCCTCATGGAAACCGCCGTCAGGCATTACTTCGTGAAGGGAGGATCTAGCTACTGCTCTTCCTTCTGGTGGCTAAGGTGTTAACTTCCTTCCTTCTATCTTCTGCTATTTGCTCTTCTTCTTTCGGTGGAACGCAAGTCTTTGAGGACTTCTGTAGCAAACGTGTTGGTAGCGTTCCAGGCAGCTTCTGATGACAACATTGCTCCCACTAGTGAATCTGGTTGCATTTTCTGGCTCAGGATCCTCTCCAACTCGTCACGCTGTGGATCGAAACGAGAACATACAAAGAAGATGTGCTCCGCATCTTCAGCAACTCCTGGGCAGGACGGGCACTCCGAAGAGTCATCATGCTTAAAGCGGTGTAGATACTTTCGAAAACATCCGCGTCCTGACAACATCTGGGTAAGATAGTAATTGACCTCGCCGTGATTCCGGTTAAGCCAAATGTCGATCCGGTTAAGCCAAAAGGGTATTAGACGGTGCGTCCACCTACCCTTCTCTGCAGCATCCCATTGTAATTGCCATCGGCCTATGCTATTCTGCCGTTCTTCAATTCTAAGTTCTTCAGGGCTCAGTGCAGTTGACCTTTTTCGTTGGTAAAGGGCCCGTCTTTCTTCTGCTAGAACTCTAAGAGGTAGGGTTCCAGTAATGACGCACACTGCTTCTTCTGATATAGTGCGGAAGGCACTAGCTACTCGTAGGGCACTCAATCGATATACTGGTCCAGCTTTTCTCCATGATTCTTGGGTCTCCAGTGCATCAGCCTAAATGGGTATTCCGTAAGTGAGCACTGATGTGACTACTGATGATAAAAGTAGCCTCCTGCTCTGCATTGGGCCTCCGATGTTAGGCATCAGCCGTGTGAGATTAGCCCTCACTACTGACGCTTTGACACTGACATGTTCCACCTGCTGCTTGAAGTTAAGTCGAGCATCCAGCATCACTCCCAGATAACGGATAAATGGTTGTGATGTTATTTCTTGTTCTCCGACTCTCAACTTGATGGTTTCTACCGTTTTTCTACTAGTGATGAGCACTGCCTCGGTTTTATGGTTGGCTAGTTGCAAATTCATCATGTCCATCCACAAATTGACTCGTCTGAATGTAATATCAAATGCCATTTCTATCTCTTCGAGGTGCTTTGCGACGATCACGACAGCTACGTCATCCGCATATGCTACAAGTTTGACTCCCGTGGGCAATGCTATTCTCAGGAGGCCATCATACATGATGCTCCATAACAGAGGACCTAAGACTGATCCCTGTGGCACTCCTCCGGAGATTTCGTACACTTCCGTACCGTTCTTCGTGTCATATTACAGGACCCTATTCGTGAAGTAGCTCGCTACTATTCAGCGAAGGTATCCTGGTACGTTTTTTCCTCTAGAGCCCGCATAACACAGCCCCAGTTAGCGGAGTTGAAGGCATTCTCGATGTCCAAAGCAGCCACCAAGCAGTATTTCTTCTTTCCACCCTTCCATCTCGTTCCGGCGATTGCATCCTTGGCTATATCAACAACCAATTTGATCGCATCCACAGTTGACCGTCCTTTTCGAAAACCGAACTGGTTCTCTGCCAGAAGTGGATCGACTAAAGCCTCTATTCTCTGATAAATTATGCGTTCGAATATCTTGCCGGCCGTGTCTAACATACAGAGTGGTCGGTAGGATGATGGTTCTTCCGGCGGCTTTCTTCCCTTTGGAAGTAACACTAGCCGTTGCTGTTTCCACTTCCGGGGAAAAGTCCCTTTCTTCAGGCATGTATCGTAGACGTCCAGGAATAATGTCGGTGCTGCCCTAAGGATTGATTTCAGGGAAATATTAGGGATTCCGTCCAATCCCGGTGCCTTATTATTCCCTACTCGATTGCCTGCCTCTATCAACTCATCCAACGTGATAGTTAGGATGTCTTCAGGGTTGAGCTGCTCCAACTTGTAGGTGAATACCGACTGTCGGGGAAACAGCGCAGTAACAATCTTCTCTAGGAGCTGTGGACACGTAGGTGATGGCATTGGCTGGCATTTCAGGTAGGTCATAACCACTTTGTACGGTCTGCCCCATGCCCATTAAAGGGGAGTTTTGTCCACGGGAGCGTATTTTGCTTGGTCATTTTGCTTGGCTTCTACCCACTGCAGAGGACCTAAGACTGATCCCTGTGGCACTCCTCCGGAGATTTCGTACATTTCCGTACCGTTCTTCGTGTCATATTTCAGGACCCTATTCGTGAAGTAGCTTGCTACTATTCTGCGAAGGTATCCTGGTAGGTTTTTTTCCTCTAGTGCCCGCATAACGCAGTCCCAGTTAGCGGAGTTGAAGGTATTCTTGATGTCCAAAGCAGCCACCAGGCAGTATTTCTTCTTTCCACTCTTCCATCTCGTTCCTGCGATTGCATCCTTGGCTGTATCAACAACCAATTTGATCGCATCCAGAGTTGACCGTCCTTTTCGGAAACTAAACTGGTTCTCTGCCAGGATTGGATCGACTAAAGCCTCTATTCTCTGATGAATTATGCGCTCGAATATCTTGCCGGCCGTGTCTAACATGCAGAGTGGTCGGTAGGATGACGGTTCTTCCGGCGGCTTTTTTCCCTTCGGAAGTAACACTAGCCGTTGCTGTTTCCACTTCTGGGGAAAAGTCCCTTCCTTCAGGCATGTATCGTAAATGTCCAGGAATAATGTCGGTGCTGCTCTAAGGATTGATTTCAGGGCAATATTAGGGATTCCGTCCAATCCCGGTGCCTTATTATTCCCTACTCGATTGCCTGCCTCTATCAACTCATCTAACGTGATAGTTGGGATGTCTTCAGGGTTGAGCTGCTCCAACTTGTAAGTGAATACCGGCTGTTGGGGAAACAGCGCAGTAACAATCTTCTCTAGGAGCTGTGGACACGTAGGTGATGGCATTGGCTGGCATTTCAGGTGGGTCATAACCACCTTGTACGGTCTGCCCCATGGATCTTTCTCTACTTCTGCGACCAGTTCCTTCCAGCAACGTCTTTTGCTTTCTTTAATGGCTCTGTTTAGCTCTCGACGGGCCTTTTTATACTCTGCCAACAGCTCTGCTGAGTTAGGTCGTCTGTAACCACGCTGCGACTTTCTTCATTTTTTAAGACACTCTGAGCGTAGAATTCTAATGTGATCGTTCCACCAATGCACCGAAGGTCTTGAATTCATGCCACGTTTCCGAGACATACTAGCGTCGCAAGCCTGGATGACTCTTCTCATTAGGTTCTTGATCTTCTCTTCAGCAGTTTCTACGATGATCGGATCGCACTCTAGAGCTACTACTAAAGCAGTGAGGTCGAGAGATTTAACTTTCCACCCAACCGCGCTAGCGCTCCTGTTGACTCTTGTTATATTCTGGCCAGTTGATATTTCCCATAGTATCGCACTATGGTCACTGGCTGTGTAGATGTTCAATACTTTCCAAGAAAAACCTATTCGGGCTAAGCAACTGCTGACAAATGTGAGGTCGACAATTGAGCTTGCCTCTCCCTTCGTATACGTTGGCGTGTCACCAGTGTTAAGAAGGATCACATCCAGTGTGGCCATTGCCTCGAGAAGTGCTTTTCCACGTGTATTAGTGAACTTGCTGCCCCAGTCTGCTGCCCGGGAATTGAAGTCACCAGCTATTGCCATGGGAAAGTGTTTTCTTGCGTCCTCAGTTAGCCGATCAATGAAGTCTTCAAACTGTTCATTAGAGAGACTAGGTGGTGCATAGCAGCTGTAGAAGCGGAGGCCATCTACCCATGCTGCTACGAAGCCGGCTTCTTTGTTGTTGGCTGTTCTCTGAAAAGGACATTTACGGCAGGACCAGATGACGGCTTTATTAGTGCTGTCGAATTCCCAGGGTTGATTACTCAAGTGTCTATAAGGCTCACTTATAAGT